GAAATTTTTCTCCATTGCATGTCACTTTGCGTTGAATTTTCGTCGATGTTAAGCCTAATGAAGACTATTGTATCGTTAAAAATTATTTTTTTATTTTGTACAAACAAAATAAATATATTGAAAAATATAAAAACAATAAAAAATTATACTTCAGAAGTTAATTTAGTATCAAAAACGTAAAATATTTGAGTAGCAGAAGACATAGCCAAAGATTACTGCGCCACAGCACTGGCGAAAATTTAAATTTGTCGACTGGAATTCCTTCGGATAACCGACGTTTCGGATAACCGACCTTCGGATAAACGACGCTCTACTGTATATTTAAATTGTAGCTTAAAGCCTTCAATTTCTAAAACGAATCTCTTATCCGAATAAATAGTAATGAAATGTAAATATTGACCCCTGGATATCGACCCTTTGATATGGAGAGTATCGACCCCTGCCCCATCCCTGGAGGATGGGGCAGAGGTCGATACTCTTTATCATCAAAAAACATCTTTGAATCGCTTTCCAAATCGCACTATTCGTAATAACAAGAGCAAAACAATTGCAACAACAACAACTTCAATTGTTGAATTCGTTTGTTACGCGTTAAACCAAGAAGAAAGGGAATTTAATGAACAATTTTTGATTTTTTTCTACTATAATCTGAGAATCTAATTACGATTAAAAAGCCAGAATTAGATTTTTGTAAATTCGTAAGATTTACGTTAATTTTTATAATGTTTAAACGCAAACGATCGAGAAATGTAGCGGAATTACTTCTACAGGAAAGGAAGAGGCGAACTTCCTATGAAAATAAAACGTGTGGATGAATATACGTGACCGAGAACAAAATGTCAAAGGTTGAAAGTGCCATTGAGGAATTGGTGTTTTGTACGGATAGGATTGCTAATGCCAGATCGTGTGATAATTTAATATTGTTAAGTACATCCCTCTCCAGAGGAGTGACCGCCAGCGGGCTAAAATTTCAGTTCCGAATGAGGGGTTTGAACCCCTTTCCAAATTTTATCCCCCAGACGACATGCATTTGTACCGCATCTCCAGGTTGCACTGATCTCGAAACTAGATATTTAGATTTTGGAGTAGGTCCAGTTGGCCGGAACCCATGTTGACTTTACACCGTGACGAAAGGTGGCCGACGGGCTCCGGGAAGAAGGCCCGGCCAAAAAGGTGAAAAGCCACATCGAAATATATGAGAGATTCTCGAGTAATGCGATTCGGGAATGCTTGCGTGGCTTTTCGCGGCAAATGACCTTTTTTTTGCCTCGGCTGCTCGAAGACGGTTAAAGTGAGTAACTAAAACTGTGCTGAAATTAACTTAAATCCTATTTAGTCCTACATATTTTGGTATGAATAAAATACTAAGTCACTATGTAGAAGTTGGCTTGTGGTCGTAACTCTAAGATACTAATAAAACAAGCCTACACAATTTAAACTCTGGTTGAGACACATTTATTCTGTTAATTTGATGTCTAGTTGAGGTGAAGCATTAACGAAACCTCTACTATGTGTCTTACAGAATTGTGTTAGTTCTCAAAATCTGTTTGATCGATTTTGATTGAACTTTGTTGTTTTCCATTAATTGCGATGAGGAATTCAAAAATATGATGAGGAAATGTAAAAAATAAGAATCCAAGACTATGTTTTTGATATAGCCTACAGAAGTGTTAAAGTGATAATGTCCGTGCTCTCTGATGAAACCGAGTGCACCTAATGGAAAATAGGTGCAAAAACCGAACAAAGCAGTCGATGGCAATTGCTTTGTTATTCAATCGCTTCTCCATGTTGTCAAGTGGAAGGATCGTTTCTCTCACAATCAGTAGGTACAAGGTAACTTTGTTTTTTGTTAATCTACAGCAATGCAACACTTGGGTGATCTGCCTAGGAGGAATGCCTTCCGAGAGGTCTTTTTAAGGGTAACTGGCTCCTATTCAGGCGTTACAGACATGGAGAAAACCTGGAAAACTCCACCTGATCAACCCATCCTGACAAGGTGAGAACCTGACGACCGAACTCCCAGTGTTCAGAGAACGGAACCGTTTGGCTACTGGTGGGCCTTCTTTTGCGACAGCAAATGCAGAGTTCACCTGTCCGCATCATCAGGTACAATTTCAAAATCATGCAAAAATGTCCGCATCATCAGGTATTAGATTTTACAAATACGTGAGCCGTTCACAGCCCGGCACACGTATTTGTAAAATTTGACTGACTCGTACAACATGGAATTCATATAACACGGAATTATCAACAGTGTTATAGAAGGGTCTACTGTAACCCCCCAAAAGTCGGCAAGCTCACACTGGTGTCATATAAGTGTAATTTTGAGTCCCCGATCTCCACCAGGTCGTTATATTAAAACATTCTGGTAGCATTATCTGAAGTGCAAAGGGCCACAATTATTACAAATTACTCTTTGGATTTTCAAAAAACAGATAACATTAGAATAAATGAATAATTCGACATCTGTAAATTTCATTTTTATAATTTCATTTATTAAAAAAAGCATTATTTTAACTTTAAAAAGTTAAAATAATCCTGTTTCTAATAAATACCTGTATTATTTTAATTTAATTTAAAGAACAAAATTTAAAGAAATCAAAGTTAAGATACTTGGGCTGTACTATAGATTACCACCTATGGAATTTCGGGACTTTGAGTATATATTTGAACTGAGGGGACCGAGAAGAATGGTACCCTACTTTTGAATCGGAGAAGAAAAATAAGAAAGTCATCATATTTACAATTTCTTGCCTTTCACAGTACTTTTTTTAATGGTTTGCAGACATTACCGCAAGATGGCGGCACTAGTAACTACGGTGTCGTCTGCTTAATTTTCTTTTTTCTATTTAGGTTAGTTATTTAATTTAATTTATTTAACTAAGTTAGGAATAACCTAAGTTAGTTAAGTTAAATAACTTAATCTAAGTTATTTATTTATTTAACTAGTTTGGTTTGCACATTTTCATCGCTAGGTGGCGTTACTTCCAATTACGATGTCGTCTGCTTAATTTTTTATTTCTTACGCAGCAATTTTGAAAATGAACTTCCTTAGGATACTTTGACACCACCAAAATGTCTGTCCGTCAATTGAAAAGGAAAAACCCAATCCGGGACGAAAAGTCAAGTCCAGTCAATTAAGTCGTAGCCGGATAAAACGTCACTTCTGGGTGACAAAGTCGTATTCGGATGGCAGAGTCCATATTCGGTGAAAAGTCGACATCGGTGGAAGATAACCTCGGCAGAAAATAGCTTTATTTTATGCAACAGGAGAAAAACCTCTTCCACCAAGGCTTCTTTCGCTTGACGCTTATTTCCACGATCACTTTCGACTCCTGTTCTACCTCGCGTGATCGACACTCCACCGTCCCTTCTGCAACTTCCGGATATCGTAGACCCAGATAGTTAACCAGAGAGGAGGCGCTAT